TCCACGTCCCCCTGTTGCACAAGTTAATGTGGAGCAACTCTGTATGGGACATGGCAAAGAATAAACAGAGCGTGAGAACGTCACATAATAATACATATATATTCATATATGTATATATATATATATACATATATATATAGATATATATATATATACATATATATATACATATACATGTATACATATATATACATATATACATATATACACATATATACATATATACACATATATATAGTTATAGAGAATTAGCTACTGAAAATTAGATTTTCTAATAGAACAGCACTCACACGGGGAATAAGTTCCAGTTCCAATACAAAATTACAATTAAATATTACATTGAACAACACGGGGGAATGTTTTAACTCGGGCTTTAAACACTCGCAGCCTCAGACTCTGTCCATGGTGCTGAAACCCAGTAGTCGTTTGAAGGGAAGGGAAGGCTCCACAGCGTCCACTGCCACAGTGGGCTGCAGAAAGAACACAGCCCTGATGAAAACAAACACCACCCCAGGAGGTTTCACTGATTGGGGAGTAGTCTCGAGATTGACGGATCGCTAATTGGCGAAATCACCTTTTCAAACTGTGACACCGTGGCCCATCGTGCCACATTAATGCCTGCCTTTTCTGATAGCGCTACATTTAGCGAAGACAACACATTTTGGCTATTTTTGTCAGACTTTTGTAGTGAAGTTCAAAGTGGGGGAAATAATCTGTAACTTTACTTACTGTAGGATTTTCTCATCCTAAATCTAACACTTCAATTCATCAAAGACTACGATGACTCTGTTGTATACAACTGTTGTTACTGCTACCGTACAACCCCGATTTAAAAAAAAAAAAAAAGCTTTACATGGAAGCCAGCATGCCTGACATTTTTTCTTATCAGATCCACATCTTTTCCACTATCCCACAACCCCAGAGGGTATTTGGGGCATCACTGATGACCTTTGACCAGCTCTCTCTGTTCATCCCTATCCTCGGCCGCTCTCATTGCTTCACCAAGTCACATTCTTTGATGTTGTCATCCCTGTTCTCTTTTGTCTCTCTCATCTGCTGGCATCTGTTACAGTTCCTTGCAGCATGGTCCTTTCAAGACCTGATGTTCTGGTGATGTTTGTGCAGAGCATCCATGCTTACACTTTGGCTTGGGGGACCAATGGTCTAATCTTTTGCGGGACTTCTTCATTTGTGATGCACAACAGTCTACGATGGCACTTAATGCAGGCACGGGCAAACTAAGACTGGATTTTTTAATCAGGCTGCCAAACTTTTACAAATTATATATGCAATATATATGCAATCCTACATTTCCCCAATAGATGGCATAAAAAATGATAAAAGTATTTTAGTATTTATGCAGGTCACTTATCTAAGTTCACACAAATACTCCATTTATCTGCTACTGACCCGGCCCCCCTGTTCAATTTTAGGACAATTGTGGCCCGTGAGTCAAAGCCTCACCTTTGACCTAAGCCTGTAATTGTTTTCATTCCTGTATCGGCGTAAGTCGTGCAGAGGTATTTGAAGCTGCCGACTGTGTCCACTGACTGACTGTTGACCATGATGTTTGAGGATATGCCATTGACATTGGAGGTCATCAACTTTGTTTTTTTCCCTGCACCAGGTTTCCATTGTGTAGACCTGTAAAGTGGTGGTTCTTGCTGGTTCCTACGTCATCTCCAGTCAGGACAACAATATCATCGGCAAGACGGAGACTAGTGATCGTTCTATCTCCGATACTGATACTGAAGTGCAACTTTTCCAACGCACAAGTTTAACAAATACAACCAAAGCTTTCTGTCAGGATCGTGACCCAGGTTAGAGGGTGGCTTTTCCACCTCTCCAAGTTCCCACTGTACAGTACGTCTAGCAGGCATTTCCAAATGGTGTACGGGTTTGAGTATGAGCCATATTCTGATTAATTATTTCAGCAAAGGCATTAATTCAAAACACTCCACAGTGCTGCCAAAATCTATAATACCACTGCTGTGCTTATTAACTTGAGACACTGAATTAGTGATTACAACACACAGAGAACGACACACACAAAGGGAGAGCGAGCGAGAGCGAGAGAGAGAGAGAGAGAGAGAGAGAGAGAAAAAATATATTGTTCTTTCACCAATGTCTCACCAAAGCGTGAATCAATTAATCTGTATTCAATACATCTCTATCCATTCGCCCATGTATCCATTACCTCAGCGTTCTCTCTCTTTGCTGAACTGACCAAAGTCGATGACCTATTTCACAGCCGATATATAGCGTCTCTGTAATAAAGACCTGTCAAATGACAGACCTGTGGGTAATAAAGACCTGTCAAATGACAGACCCACCAGCATGTGGTAATCACCAGTATGATGTCAACCTCGTGTTACGACCTGACCTGCTGCATGAGGACTGATCTTTTGACGCCGACGTCAATGTCCAACTTTTTTGGTTTTTTTCCCTGTTCAAAGACATTTATACAGTTACGTTTACAGATTTTCCACCTAATACCTGGTTTAAAAGTCCCCCATTAGAACAAATTACGGACCATATGGACTGGACAACGGTATTACATATTTGGAGAACAAATCACAGGGTCTTATGCCAAATCTCTTCTGGATGGCATTCAAACGTGACATATCCCATCAGGCCTAGTGCCAGCATCTCAGATGTCTTAAGACTTTGCCAAACTTGGCTGCTCAATGACTCGTAGACAGTTGCATGGCTTTACAGCAATAAACCAGGAAATGTGAAAAGGTTTAAGAACCAAACAAGGAAGCGTGTCAACCTGAAAGCCATGCTGAGATTTCAGGCCATGTAGGACATTTGTCCTCATTAGGCTTTTTAATCTTTCTGCTGCAGACGTTCATGTTTTCCATCAACAAACTGGCCGGACATTTGACAACACAGCAGTACAGAGCAATGAAATTAGATCACTAAACCAAGCAAAGATGTCTGTAAATGACACAACATGCCAAAAGAAGAGGAAAATAAAACACCCAATATTAACATAGATAAATAAATGATGAACCTTAAACAAATGTGGGAAATATAATACAAATATTATAGTATACTAGTAAATTGTCTGTTGGTGCCGAAAAAGTAGATCCGAATCTACCAGTAAAATATATAAATGAAAACATTAAAGATATATATATCTGTGTATATATAGAGTATGTATATATATACACATATACATACATATACATATATGCATACATATATACATATATGCATATATACATACATATATGCATATATACATACATACATGCATATATACATACATATATACATATATACATACATATATACATATATACATACATATGTACATATATGCATATATACATACATATATGCATATATACATACATATATGCATATATACATACATATATGCATATATACATACATATATGCATATATACATACATACATGCATATATACATACATATATACACATATATACATACATATATACATACATATATATATAGATATATACATATTTAAAGTTTCCCTTTGAAGGATATTCAACTGATTTACCAACGATGCCTCAGTTATATTTAGGAGTTTGCGAAAGTAATATATAGTCTGTTAAATATACTAAATAAGTCTGCATACT